CTCACTGGACAAAGGCACATACACACACATACACACACATACACACACATACACACACATACGCACGCACACACACACACACACACACACACACACACACACACACACACACACACACACACACACACACACACACACACTCACACACTCTCTCAGACATGCTGATGTGCACCTACATACTGGTGTTTAACTGCATATGTGCAGAATTACACTCAAGCAAACGTGTTTTTTTTTTCAATTAGTTTTTTTTTTTCTATCCACAAAAAACTAAAGCACAGTGTATGTTTGTGCAAGTGCATGAGTATAGATTTCTTGGTATTTTCTAGGTTTGCTTTAATAAAGTCCTATTTGAGTGAGCTACCAGAGACATTTAAGAGCAGCCCAAGTTCCTCTTAGCCTCTTGAAACTAATTAATGAAGCGAAACACTCTGAGGAAGCAAACATTCACCATTTTGGAAGTTTACCCATAAAAAAAAAGAAGCTCTAATAGTTAATTATGTTGATTTATACTCATCAAGTAAAAGGGTCTTCAGTCACATACACACTGTCTCTCACTGTGCCAGTTGCATCATCTGACATAACAACAACATGGACAGTCATTTCTCAATGATGCAACCATCAATAAATATTACTTCTGTTAATCACAACAGATACTATAAACAAATACTTTTTAATTAACCTGCAAGACAGGGTTTTATGAGGTTTATGTTTTGGTCTGTTTGTTTACTTGGCACCAGGTGAAAGGATGTGTTCTGTGTCAGGAAAGAAGATTACCATTATTTTCAAACTTTATTTTTTATTGATAAAGCTATAATTAATGGATCTTGATGAAAACAATCAGGCATATTTAAATGACTGGTATGTATGAATGTGTGAAATGTAGTTCACCTTGATTGAATTTCAGGGATTGTTCTTTTAAAAACTACAAAATAACCAAACAGTTGAAGCTAACTGAAGATCTTTTTTTTTTCACTTTCAGTTCATTTGAAATTAAAATGTTTGATGTCCAAAAAGATCACCAATCATTTACAACCTTAAACTAAACTTAACTTCACTGACTGGCTGCTTACGTGACAGATTAATTTTAGAAGCTGCATAGATGACAGACAGATTAAATACTGTGGAACTGTTTCTTCTGGTAAGTGATAAATCTGTGTGAAACTACGCAAAGTAGTTTGGTGTATATTTGTTTACTATGAACAATACAGGGAAGCAAACCATTTCTGACCTACAAAGCATTAACATGCATTCAGTGAATTTTTCTAAAATCACAATAGCATCACACTCTGTCGTCACACTCACAAACATCCATATCCAAATGACACACCCTTTCCTGCACGGTGGACTGCAGATAAGCTGCAGCTCCCTGCAGGGAATTTGCCATGGGAACACAAGGGTGACAGACACACACACACACACACACACAGCTGTTCAGATCTGTAGAGTTTGAATAGTTTTATATAATTTCTTTCTCCAATTCTCCTTTTTTTTTAGTGTTTCTCCAGATGTTTACTTCCCCACCTTTCACTCTGTCTCTCTCCCTGGTTTCGCAGGAAGCCTGACAGGATGCAGAGTGTGAGTGGGGCAGGAATGATAGGACAATGGGAAGCAGGCTGTCACCGAACCCTCACACAGCACATAACACACATTTATAGAGCACGTACACACACAAACAGGGCACAAACACACACTAACAGAGCACAAACACACACTCGGACAGAAAAAAAGAGAGGGAGACAGCTCTAGCAGTGGAAAAGCGAGGTGTCTCATTCACCGGGACGTCCTGTTTCCATATGAAGTCATCACTTCCTTTTGATACAGAGGACTAAGGAGGTTTGTTGGAAAACAAACGTGAACATTTACACAGAGGTACTGAACGGTCACATCTGATTTCTTTAGCCTGTTTTAAAGAGAGGAGACTTTCTCGGGTCATGCTCGAGGGCTCATCAACACAACACACTCAGCTGACACCCTCCACCCATGGGTTTTGAACATTGGTCTGCTGGGAAAGAAAAAATGTCCATTTGTAACCCTTTTACAAAAAAAGGAATCCACGCCCCCTTCCTTCCTGCCTAACTCCGAGGCTAAAGACAGGAACTGACCATGTAAAGAAACAGGAAGTGATGAAGTGCGGCCTTGGATGGTCTAATCGCATTTTTCCCCACTGCATCCGACCCTCAAAATGCCCCCTCCATGACAACTCCATTACGCAGACCCACAAGAACTTTTCTAGAGATCTGGAGATGGAGGTGTGATCACACATCCTCCACCTCTTGTCTGTCATGATGAGGATTCCAACACCTGCAGGAGGCCACAGAAACCCCTCAGATAGACGGACATGTGAAGGAAGCACGCGGCCTGGCCTTTTCCTCAAGGTGACATCCTGTAGGTGTGATCCTGAATAAATCACAGTTGCTTACTAAAGGAACATGAATGTATGAGATCTGACAGACAAGTTAGAATTAAAGGTTTCGAGAGAAATCTGACAGAACAGTTATGATCCCACATGACACAGATGTTTGCGACTTATCAAGATCCTATTAAATGTATTGGTCGAAACCTGAACCATTTGGAGTCTTCTAAATGTGATTGTACAGCGTCACATGAAGAGACCTCACTTGAGATAACTCTCTGGTGAACTCCACTCTTTCATCACATCTGTCCGGGCGGTTTGATTTCTAAATATCGGCCTCTATCTGAGCATGCAGCAGAAGAGTGGAAGGGGGGGAGGCCACACATTTACTAACTTCTCACTTCATCAACAGGCTAAACTTCCTTTATTCAACTGTGAAGTTAGCCCATATCCGCAGACTGAAATATACAAGACATTCTGACTATTGTATACATATATATATACATATATATAGGCCTGTATAACCTATATCCTCTCATAATACAGACAAATGAAGATGGACAGTGGACTGAGGTGGTG